TCCGGGAGTTTACGGAAGCATGCAGGGGGCTGAATTATACAAACCGATTCCTTAACGGAAGTGTTTAAACAGAGGTTTGACACCCAACCCATCTGATTGCTGCAATGGAGGGGTGGGCGGTGGCGGGTGGGGGGAGGGGGGCAAGATTTTTTTTTACCGTTTTGTACTGGATTTACATCTCAATTTTGCAGCTTTGCTTACCTTCGACTGTCGAACTGTCTTTGGAACAAAAAAAATCAGCTTTTTCTCATTGGGTTTGCGATGACGAGGGTCAGCTGAACAGATCATGAAAACTAACATTCAGAATTCGGAGTACAAGTTTAACATTCTTTATTTTGTACCCAAGAAACTCACAGGGAACGGGGAATGTTTCAGTGTGGTCAGAAGAGTGGTCTGGTCGCAACGTGCCGGCGTGGTCACGTCTATGTTCAACACCCGTTGTCAATCGTGTCAGTTGCGTTTAGTTCCCATGACAACTTATATGAGTCTGTTCATTCTGTCAATGTGTTCAATTCCAAATAAGACTTATAAGAGTATGTTCATTCTATTTTTTGTGTGTATATGTGTGTATAGGTGTGCAGATATTTCTAGAATGTTCAAAATATAATAACAAGACTTTAGCGATTTTAACAACCTTGTTGTATGTGTGTGCCTGGTAAGGAGGAGAAAAAAAAAGGGGGGGGGAGGGCTAAAGGGATTCCCAGCTTCACAGGTAATAAAAGCATTTATTAACTAGGAAGACAATGTGTCACACAAACAAAGAACCACCCTTAACACACATCTGACAGTAACACCAACACCTTCCACAGTTAGTAATTGTAAAGAAACGTGCTTCACACACCGAACTTAGCATTATTTCCCTAAGAAGTAATTATTATATATTTGTTATATGACATGCATGCACATTTTGCATTAAAAATGATGACTTTGGCATTAGGGATGGTGTCAAACAACTCCCCTCCCCCCTCCCAACCACTTTGCACAGACCTTTATGACAGAAACACTCACCAGTGACAGTGGGACACCCTCTTGCAAAAGTCGTACAACAATTTTTGAAAAGTAAAGCAACTACCAATTTGAAAAAAAAGAGTTTATTAAAAGATTTTATACTCGTCAAAAAATGGATTTTGATTTAATTTATTCACTAACTTCTTTTGGCAGGATTACATAATTATTTCATGTAAGTATTGTAAATCAGGTAAAAGGAAATTTAGAAGATGAAGATGCCATTGAATTTGATGAAGCTATAACTAGAAGATTAAATTATGAGTTGTCATTGTTCAGGCTATTATGTTTTGACAATTTGCTTTCAAAAATAGCATGCAAAATCATATATATTGAAAAAAAAATCAACTACTGTAAATGTATTTTCTATATACAAATATTGATTTATAAAAAAAAAAAATATTGACACTGTACATTTCCAGATGCAGGAAATATGAAATGAGTTTTAAAAAAAATGTTTTATGATCTGAGGTTGAAAAATTGTATTTATATCCTACAAAGATTACCTGGAAACATTACGATTAGATAAACGTTGACAGACATGGCCTAAATGGACAGTGCGGGGAAAAGCCTCGAACACCCCAAAGAGATCTGTCACAGAACAGTGGGGGAGAGTCCCAGATGGACCCAGCAGATGACTCCCACAGAAGCAGTTGATAGACTGAAGTCAAATTCCTGGGCGGTGGCCATGGAGACTGACTGAAATGTGCACGTTCCAAAATTTAAGCAATTTTATTGGGTTTGCGTAGACCTGCAGAAAACAAGCAGCTTTTGTACATAAAGTCCATGTGTGTTTCCTTAGATCAGCACTGTGCTAAAGACCAACTCATCACATGGTGTAACGACATCGGCACAATTTGTTTTTAAAGAGACACGGGTCAATAAGATAAGCCATTGCATTTGAAAAACTGTGTCTCATTCTGAGGCAAACAAACATTCTCTGTGATGCATTTAAAGACTTGCTGTCCCGCTCTTTTAGTTTAAAACCACACACCACTAGCCAGACTGTCTTTATCATTATGCTGCATCCTGTAGACTCTACAGCATAAGACAAAAACTGAAATCTATTTCATTTTGTGTTTTTTGTATACCGGTACAATAAAACAGATAAATAAATTATAGTATAAGTTATATAAAAATTGACCTTAACAAATGTTTAATATAAACATTCAAAATCAAACTGGACAATGGAAGATGTCGGGCTATACAAGTACAATGAAAAAAATCAACACCAGACCTTTTTACCCTCAAACTCTTAAAATCGTACAATATCATCACAAAATCATTCAATACACTATCTTAATAGTAAAAAAATAAATAAACATACACTATATATGATGTAGACAGCTCAAAATCGTACACTGTACGCCAAAAACGTAAGAGTAAACAGGTCTAACCCTAACACCTGAAATCAAATCATAATAATTTTGTGGCACATTTGAAAACATCATATAATAATATGCACCGGCGCATATAATGCTCAATTAAATAACACACTTCAAAAACTGGTACATGTTGTTTCCAGCAGTGGCCCCCAAAAATGTTCAATGGTGTTGTTAGATCTCCAGATTGTGCTTCAAAATGTGTTAAAAATGTCATATGAGTTGATTTCAATTTAGGGGTCCCCTCAAACGTTCGGTCATCTAGTTAATAATTTATCAAAATTGAATTTAAATGGAACCATGCAAAATGACAACTGGTTAACATTCTCATCTTTAAATATTCTTGAAAGATGGTTTGGATTAGATTATAAAAAAATGTTAATGACATCAGACATTGATGTGGGATGAAAATGTTCAAATGCTGACATAATTGAATATAAAGTAAAGATGTCATAATAGTACCGTAATAGAAAAACAAATTCTCATTTGTTTGGTCTATACTTGCAGTAGTCATAAAATGCAATTCCATTTTACTCAATTTAAAAAAATAATTACTATTTTAATTATAAATTACTCTTATTATATTAAATAATAACATTGATATAATTGTAAATGTAAATTTAATGCTTTAAATCTAATTGATGGTTACACATTTTGGTGCATTTTAATTAATTAGAATTAGAATTACCAGTACCTGGTGCATAAAAAAAAAATTGATTTATCCTAATGGTTCAGAATCAATGGAATGCGAATCATAGTCCTGACTTAACAACACATCATTAGTGGAGGCGTCCTGAATCAAATAACCTTTGCACCCTTTATTTTCCAAGTGAGTGAGCTCATGTCTCTTCAGAGATGAACTTCGTGGGAACTGCTTGTCGCAAACGGAGCATCTATGGGGCTTTTCCTTCGTGTGGCTCAGTGTGTGACACTTCAGCTTTGATGACGTCGAAAACCCCTTCGAGCAGACTTCACAACTGTAAGGCTTTACTTCCCTGTGTGTGTACTCATGCCTTTTCAGGTAGGAGTACTGCAGGAACCTCTTGTCACAAACCTCGCACCTGAAAGGTTTGACGGCCATGTGGGTCAGTTTGTGTCTGTTAAGGATAGATGGCACGGAGAATGACTTACTGCATGTGTCACAAGCGTATGGCTTGATGTCAACGTGGGTGAATCTATGCTGATTCAAAATTGAACTTCGCGAGAACGACTTTCCGCAAAGATCGCACACAAAGGGTCTCTCCCCTGTGTGGGTCAGCATGTGATCTTTCAGATGAGATGCTTTACTGAAGGACTTGGTGCAAACAGAGCAGAGATAACATCGCTCCTTGAACCTGCTGCTTAGCATTCGCCTCCTGTGTTTTAGATTTATTGGCTTATTGCATCTGCTGACTTTAGAAGATTTCTCATCCAAGTGGGAGTTAAGATGCTTCCATAATGATGTCCTTCGTGCGTAAATCCCATTACAGAGGTCACACCTGTAAAGCTGTTGGTCTTCCTCAGCTGTGTTTGTCTTTTGAACACTACTTAAATTTATATTAGCGAGAAAGGATTTCTTCAACTTGAGGGTTTGTTTAAAGTGGGACGTTGTCACAGACAGCTTACTACATATCCCATATTTAAACCTTCTCACTTTCATGTGGATGAGCTTGTGTCTCTTTACGCTGGAGGGTTCAGAGAAAGCCAAACCACAGACATCACAGTGATAAGGTTTCGTATCGCCATGTACAAGCTGGTGCTGCTGCAGTTCTGATTTTTGTTGGAAAACATCCTGGCATGAATCAACCTGGTATGCCTCTTCTCCGTTGTGAGTGAAAAGATGCTGCTGGAGCTTAGATATGCTGGAATACACTTTTCCACAATGACTGCAGGTTTGTGGGTAAAACGTTACCCCTACGTGCCTGACCACATGCCTAGTCAGATGAGACTTTTTTATAAAAATCTTACCACAAGTTTCACACGGGTAGGTTTTAGTGTTGTGGGTCAATACGTGTTCCTTTAGCAATGACAATGCAGTGTAAAATTTATGACAAACGTCACATTGGAAGGGCTTCTGGTTCAGATGGGTAAACCCATGCTTTGTCAATGATGATTTCCTGGAAAAAGATTTTTGGCAAATGTCACATTGGTGGGGCTTCTCACCTGTGTGGGTCAGAATGTGATCTTTTAGGTGTGATGTCTTGCGAAATGACTTGCTGCAGTATGGGCATTTGTGACGCTTGTCTTGGTGGGAGTAATAATCTTCTGTTTCAGACATATACATCATTGGAGATGGCCTACACCGTATCTTTAATTATATAAAATACCTTGAAAACATGTGAATTTTTAAAAGTTTTGTTCAAGTTTGGTATATTACGAAGAAGTATAAAATGACTTTAAAACTGTTTATAGTAAAATAGTTTTAATTCCTTTTAAGTGTCCCATCTGCATACATTTCAGCTGAACTGAAGACTTTTCTTTTCCATTCACATCATCAATTATTATACATTTCAATATCAGTCTTTTAGGGTGTCCATTCAATGACTGATAATTCCAATGATCAAAAACTGGAGTACTTAACATTGGTATTCTTTTGTCAAGAGATTTCAAAGACTTAGGTGCAGAACTTCTAGAAGTCTCTGAAAAAAGAAAGAAAAAACAAGTAATTATTTCTGTGTAGTTCATCTGCTGACCAAATAGTTTAAATAAAAATAATAAAGCAATTAATATATTAATTTATTTTTATTTTGTTCATAAATTTAAAATGTTTCTTAGTAAATTTATCTTTACTGATAAAAATGATAAAAAATAACAATCAAACTGAGATTAGTTTGTTAAAAATAAAATTTTGTTTAGATAAGATTTAGAATTTATCCACATGTACGCCTTAAGATAACTGTTTGAACAGTAATATTATTATCTATCTCAAGATCTGTTAACCCTTTTACTTGAATTAGATGCCGGAAAAATTTTAAAACTTAAAACCTTAATACATGGAAAACATGATGGTCAGTTAAACTTTCACTCCATGCCTTTCCATGTACGGGTGTAGTACAGTTGATATTTTTTATTGTTTTGTTTTTCCATTTTAAAAACTCTACAATAAATTTATTAGTAATTTGTTTACTATTGAAGAGCTTTTCAAAAAGTAAACAAAATATTATTTGTCATGAACCTTAAACTTGATTAAATCTATAAATATAATTTGCCAGAAGTAGGGCAAACAAGAAGGCTACGACAACCATGCAGGCTATATATAGATACGCCAGAGCAAGCAAGATGCAGGCAAACCCTCCCCTCCCTTCCCTTGCCTGCCCATCGTTGGTCTCGAGACATGCGCACTGCGGTGGAGCTACCCCCCCGCCCCCTCCTGCACTACCCTCGCTTGCCAGCCATGCACACACCCCATAAAGCTCGCCAAGTTATTAATAATTTAACTCATTGTAATAGCCTACAAGCAAAACTAATTTTAGTAATAACTTCACAAAAACATAGTAACTTAATGTAAAATTATCAAAACCAAGCAATTGTCTTAAAATAATAATATTGATGTTAAGCATTTTAATTTAGGACGCATTTAATTTAGCTTGTCTATTTTAATTACTTGGGACCTCATTGGAGGGGGTGAATTATGTTGATTGTATTTATTATAATTTATTTAAACTTACTTTTATAATTGATGTTCATTTTTTGTAATATAATCATTTTAATTCTAACCTGAACCCCAATACCGGGAGCCTACTTGAATATATTTTGGGCCCATTCACAAAGTGTGTCACACTCTGGAGGAGGTGGGCTGAAGGGAGCCTAAGAAAATTTGACAAGTTTGTGACAAGTGGGCTCAGTGGGAGGGGTTCAAGATCACATGTGACCTCACTTGATTTTTAAAACTTTATACTGGTATCTATTACTATTAAATCTGAAATTGACAGTGATGTTAAATTTTCTGTTGTGATGATTGTATTAAATACTATTAGTATTATGACAGAAGATGTCACTTTTAATACTTATATAAATCTATTAGTTAAGTGTGTTTTTTATTATATTTTCATTATGGCCCATTTGTTCATTTTTAAACTATTTTTCAGTTCAAAAGTGTGACATGCTTAAAATTGACCAAAAATAGTTTAAGGCAAGGTACTTTATGAACGATCCGACTTATCTTGGCTTAAACTTAATTAAGTTTATTTAGTGAATAGTGAAGTTATTTATAAATTTGAAAGGCAAATAATTATTTAGATTACAAGTCATTGCATGTGTATTTTCAAGGTAATTAAAAAAACAAACATAGTCAACCAGTCTAATAAGGCCTACGGCAATCCTTAGGCTAATGTAGGCCTAAATGTAAAATGTGGAAATTACAATTGGGAAAATGCCTATCCATATTATTTTACTGTAAAAGAGCCTAAGCCAGTGAGAGTCTATACAAAGAGCACATTCTAAACAATGAACATTAATCATTATACTAAATAACTGAGTTGCATTGACGTTATTATTTTTGAGATCTTCACAAATGCGTCTAAATGACAAAAACAACAAAATTAGTAATGAGTAAATTCATCTGTTATCTATTTAATTTATTGTCTTCTGATGCAGTCATTTAGCCAAAAAGTGCTTCTAATTGTTCAATCTATAATTTTCAAACCTAAGGCTAAACTAAACTCTAAACATATACAACATATTAATAATATATATTATTTTTTTACTTTTGTTACCTTGTATTTAAGAAAATTTAAGGTACTTTACTTTACTTTTACTTTTTATATCATGAAGGCGAAGGCGTGAACGCAATCCCTCATACTCATATTGTTAAATTATCCTTTAAATTTAAATATACATTTAAGAATATCGCTTACTTTGATAATTTAAATTTTAATAACGATTATGACCTAGAGTTTGAGTTTACAGATAAATATCATTTTAAAAACGTATGACTGAACTAAAGAGTCAAAATCAAGAGTTTTAAAAAACAATTAATTAAGCTTAGGGCAGTATATGGTTTTAATAAATACCGAGAAATTACTCTCTCGCAAAATAAATATTATACAAATTTGAAGTGCTTTGAAATTAAAATAAGCATTGACTTTAATATTTCAGCTAAAACATCCAATCAAACATACAATATAAAATAGTAAATTAATTAGTTAATTTTGTTTTCACTTTCAATAATTACTTACATTTAACTGTTGTCTAATAAATAAAAGGATGGTTCTTCCTCAAAAAAAAAAAAAATAACCATAAATTTCCTGAGAGAACGCCAGTTGCCGAAAGATTTATTACTAATAATAAACGACATCTAAAAGCTAATAAATTTGTTGAAGTTGAAAAAAATACTGTGCTTTTTTTTTTTGCACATGGGCGCCCGCAGAAAACTTTCTAGGGGGGGGCAAAAAAAATCGATTAACCTTCCAGGGGGGGGGGCAAAAAAATTTGAGTAATGTTTTAATGCATTTTTAATTTACTGTAGCGTATTTGTATGGTGAACGAACGGACAGGACATCAGCTTAGTTACCTTCTCTTTATTTTCTCTTTACTTTAATAGATTTTTTTACTATTTTGTCTAAATTTTTTTTATCCAATCAATCCAGAGGGGGTGGAGGGGGGCAAGTGCCCCACCTTGCCCCTACCTGCGGGCGCCCATGTATATACATATATACATTTAAGGGCGATCCAAAATGACTTAATGCAATTATGAATTATTTGAGAACCCCTTCAACGCCACAAATTGTTCACAATACTTTTACCGATGCGTGATGTCATAATGATAATGAATGACCCTCTAAAACAGTGGTTCTCAACCTTTCTAGTGCCGCGACCCATTAATACTGTTTCTCGTGTTGTGGCGACCCCCAAGCCACACAATTTAATTATTTTCGTTGCTACTTCATAGCTGTAAGGATATATGTTTTCAGATGGTCTTAGGCGACCTCTGTATAGGGGTTGTTCGACCCCAAAGCGCTTGTGACCTTACAGTTGCAGTTTGAGAGACGCTGCGTTAACTCATTGTTCGTGTAAAAGTAAATTCAGCAGTGACAAAAAGCAAAGCCTTGTGTTAAAGTTATGTCCCCTTTTTTAGCGTAAACTGAACGCTTTTGTATCTAAAATCCTATCGTTTAACAAAGAAAACATCACATAAGTAAGATGTTGTACAAATTATATTATGATTACAGACTTTCAGTGTTGTCTTTTAAAACGAAAGAGATAGATAACACTATATATTTTTAGACAGTTTAATTATGATCATTAAGAAAACGTTTGTTGTAGCTCTCTGAAATACTATAAAACGTCTTTTTAAAAAAATGCTTCAAAAATTTCCTAAGCCTATGGAACGTAATATGTAATTGGTGGTTAGGCGTATGTGCTTTAATAATAACAATGATTTTAAATCCTCCAACCTTGAGAGACTTAAGGTGGTGATTTTAAAATGATTTTAGAGATGAACATAGGCGGGGGGCGGGGGGCACCAGGGGCGTCTACAGTGTGGAAAGGAAGCAATTGTTTCCAATGTGAGTTAGAGGGTGGTGTTGGGTTAAAATGCTCGTCCTCGGTTCCTGCTTATTTAACAATAAGTTAAAGGTGGGAGTGGGTCAAGTTATTTTTCCGTCATCCCCCACCCTTAGAAAAAAAATGCAGGTGGCCGAAAATGACGACCAACCCTATACATACCCCCTCCCCCGAAACCTCATTTACTCCTAGGACAATGCATCTATTTAGGGTCATATATATATATTATTCCACAAATAACCCAACTTCATCGATAGTATTTTAACAAAGGTTTTTAGGCCCATGTTAACAAAGAGAAACATGATATCCTACAATTTCTTAAACAAGGTAAGCACGGATATCCACCTTGTTTTTTCTTTAATCGCAGTCTCCAACACACAACGTTGTTAAGGACATGCTACACAATACAGTGCAGTGTGTATTTAAATGATAGATTTAGATATGAAGGAGAATAGCCTATCCACACACAGTCAACATGTCTCTTAAGCTGTACCTTAACACTATGGTTGGCTACATTGTACTTCTAAATCATGGTAAGTTGAAATCGTACAAACATTTCTTATATATAGTTTTTGCTGATGGTGTGACTGCTTCCATTTCCGAATAGCGCGCTAAATATCATTGCCGATAACTACGCTAAATGATTAATTAAAAAAAAAAAATTTAAATAACGCAACTGCGTTTGGTGCGTAATATTTTCTTTTATTTTCAGAAAATGAAATCGCCACGATTGAAATATGTTGTAATAAATACTCGGTTTACAAGTGGTTGGGGCAACAACAACAACAAAATAGTTCATGGGCGTGAAATAAAACGTGTGCCGTGACGCATCATGGGGGGGGGGTGGGGGGTGGGGTGGTAACGGGAATAGCAATACACTGAGATTCCTAAATGTGCGTTACCTGAGTTCATGAGTTTTTCAAGTAATTGTAATAAATACTCGGTTTACAAGTGGTTGGGGCAACAACAACAAC